GGGGTGGGAGGTGGGGATGCAGGGAGTGGATGCTTGGGAGCAGGCAGCGGGGGCAGGTGACTGTCTGCCAGGGCTGAGGGAGAGACTTGCCCTTCCCGGTGTGATGCCCCCCAGGACTTCCGGAAAGCCAGAGGGGAAGTGGGGAAGGGACTCTGGGAAGGGCCAGCTCTGTAGTTCTGCATGTGCTGACCTTCTGGCTCTTCTTGGGCACGAACCCCAAGCTGTGATGAGCCATGAAGAAGAAGTTGACGATGAAGAACAGGACGGACAGGAAGCTGTGCAGCCACAGGAGCTTACCCCTGCCGGGAGGAGGGCAGCCGGGCTCAGAGCACTGTGGCGGCAGGCTCACAGACCTGCCGGGCCGTCTCCTGGAAGCCTCCCATCACAGTCTCCTATCTCCATCCCAGCCTCCTGGACCCCCATCTCCATCCCAGTCTCCTGGACACCCTCCCGTCACAGTTTCCCTGGACCCCTCCATCTCCCATGACGGCCTCCTGGACGCCCCCATCTCCACCACAGTCTCTGGGCCCCCACCTATCATAGTCTCCTGAACCGCCCCCCATCACCCTGCACAGTCTCTCTGGATCCCCCATCCCAACCCATAAGCCTTCCCATGCTCCCTCTCCCACCCGACGTGCGGTCTTTCCAGGACCATCTTCTTGGAGTCCAGACACTCAGGCACCTTAGAAGGGGGTGCCAGTGGTGGTCCCCCTGAAGCTAACAAGGGGGGGCATTTATTGATGCTTGCTGTGTGCAGATCCAGGCGGGACCCAGAGTCTCCCGGCATTTCCTCCCTGACTCTCACAGCCATGCACAAGCCATGCCTGTGGCTGTCTCCACTCAACCAAAAGGAATAGGGCTAGAGTGGGTGGGTGACCGGCAGAAGGTTCCTCACAGTAGTGGCGGCGCCAGGAGCTGCACCCAGAGCTGCAAAGTACTTGACTCTTCCCCACATGTTACCCTGCCAGCCTCTGTGGCTCATGCCCCCCATGACCACCCAGCAGACCCAGTGTGGAGGGACCTGGGGTCCTATGCAGCCTGGAGGGAGAAGGGCCTCCCCTGGGGTAGGAAGAGTGGAGGCACTTGGGCCACCCATGCCATCTCTGCTCTCGATGCACGTGCTCCTGTCCCAAGACATCTGGCCAGGATTACTGTCCAAATAGGAGCCGCCTTGTCAGGTGTGGCTTGAAGAGAAAGGCCACCCTGCTTCCAAATGTCTGCTCTGCTCCCATCTGGTGCCTGATAGTTCACATACCATTCCCAAGCTGGATGCCTCTGACCTCAGTTTCCAAAGAGGGGCCCCGTACGGGTCTCCGAGGGACATTCTGGCTGTCTGCTGGGATGCACTCATGGGCACTGAGGGCTCCTTGCTCCTCCGTTAGAACTCACTTTTGTTGAGAAAGATGCAGGCACCGGGACCACCAACCAGTCTAGGGAAGGAGCCTGTCCCTGCTTTGGCTGGCTGCCCCAGGGGAGGAGCTGGCTGAAAGGGGAGGTGGGAGATGCCATGGCCATCCTGCCGCGCTTACAGTTTCGGCTAAGCCAGAAGCTCCAAGGTGTAGGGTAGGGCTGAGGAGCAGGGGCAGGGGTGTGGGAACCCCACTGTCACTTCTGGAACTGCTTCTGCAGCTCTGACAAGGAGTCCACCACGCCTGGCCCAGACACCTCGTGAGCCTCAGCACTGGCCAGCAGGGCCACATGTGGCCCAGAACAAATCGGTATGGCCGTCAATTAGGTTGGTGGATGCTGAAACCCACGGTTCCTGGACTGCAGGGGAGGGAGTTTCAAGATCATGTCCAACGCCCTTCCCCAACTGCGGACATGGAGAGGGACTGAAGGTCAAAGCAGGAGGGTGCATTGCCCCAGACCCAGGCCCAACTAATGGCAGAAGTGGGCACAAACCCAACTTCCACAATTCCCCTGTCCTTCTGCTGTGGGTCTCAGAAGGGGAGAACTCTCAGGTCTGCACTCAGGCATAGGAGGACCAGCTTGGACCTATACCTGGGCAGAGAAACACTCTTCAGCCTCTCCGTCCAGGGTCTCTGCCTCTTGGGATCTGGACACACTGAGCAAATGGGTCCATGTCTCCAGGTCTTCAGGAGTGGCCGGTTTGGGTAGTTCCGTTTATGACCGATGGGGACACAGAAGCACCAAGAGTCCCACCCCCCCAAGAGTTGTCCCACTCAGGACCTAGATTCCCAGGAAAACAGGACTTTGTTCCCAGCAAGGTGGGGCTCCTGGTACAGACCGACATGTGAGGCCTCTCTCCACCAGCACCCCAGCCAGCGCAATGGGAGGTGAGAAGATCAGGTACCTACTCTGTGGAGACATTGGCAATGGTGGTCCGACCAAAGTGACTCCTCGATTCTGAAAGAGAACAGAGTTGCTAACCTTGAACCTGGCTCCTTGACAGCCACGGGGTGCCAGAATTCAAGGTTTCCGGATGAGTGCCGGGGGTCTAGAGCTTGTCCCCAACTTCCAACAAAAACCTCAGAGGTTTCTTCTCCCTGGCACTGCTGACTGGGGCTCTCCACAAGAAAGCAAGACCGAGTCTGTGTGGTATGCCCAGGGCATGACAGGCATATAATTCACACCCAGTGAATGCTGGTTGAAGGAACCGCTATCCATCCACAAACACAACGATGAAATTAGCAACACCATGACCACTAGCAGCATCCAGAAAATATGATGCTGCCTCGTTCAAACAGAGCAAATCCTTTTGACTAAATATATCGGTTTTCCAGGTCACGCACATCTAGGTTTTGTGAAATGTGTCCAAAAATTCGGCATTCTATGATCCTCGCAAACACATCAGCTCTTGGAATGAGAATCTGGAGAGACAGGGCTCAGATGTTATATGCTCTGCTGATGGAATTTGGCGGCATGGACATTCAATGTGCTACACTGAATTAATGAAGGTCTACCTCTGGCCAAAGAGAAACAGGTAAAAACCTGGGGAACCGAGGTAAAACTGGCTGCCCCTAGGCACAAAGGTGCTCTTGGGCACCAGCCAGCTGTACAGGCTTCATTCAGCCCTTGCGTCTCGATTCCATGCTGCAGTTCACTGAGCACTCCCAGGCATCATGCACTGTGCTAGGCCCTTGGTGTGTTATTATCCAGTCCTCAAGATAGTTGAGGAACCCGAGGTCTGGGAGACTAATCTGCCAAATATAAGATTAAATAACTCGTCCATTTGAGCCATGAAATTTTCTGGGAAGCAGACGTGGGCAAAGTTGTGGAGCCAAGATTTTTCTGTCTTGGAAGCCAAGGCCTTGTCCATGATGCTATTTTGTCTGAAGGACTTATTCTGTTCCAGTGAGAGTGGATGAAGTCCTATGAGACAAATTCTGCCCTTACAGGGCTGTGGTCACCGGATGGGTTCAGGGACCTTTGTAGTGGGTCACAGGTCACAAAAGGGCTTCCCTGGTGCAACGGCTGCCCAGGTTCAGTGTGGAACATAAATACGCACTCCGTTTCAAGCTGAATTAATGCTATACACCCACTGTGTGCCAGCCCGTGGATCAAACTCGTGACAAAGGAGGGGTCATCATCAGTCCCCATGTGAGAGAACAGAAGCAAGCCTTGTCTACGGTCACAGACAACACATTTCCAGAGGCAGGACTAAGACCTAGACTTCCAGGCGCCCCAGGTGCCCTCTCCATCCGGTTGCCCCAGCTGTCCCTCCCGTCTGGCGGCTGCCAGGGCCTGCTGAGCTCCGCCTACCCAGAACAGTCCCCATGTAGTTGAGGGGCAGGATGACGCCCAGGGAGGGGATGCAGATGATGAACACGAAGATGATGAGATGGTACTGGAACGTTATGTAGATGCGTGCGTCGTCCCCACACTTGCTGATCAGGTCCTCGTTCCTGGAAGAAACCCACACATGGGACATGCCTCAGGAGCCGCACAGCCACAGTGGAGGCTGGGGGAGGCGAAGGAAAGGGAGGGCAGATGATCACTCTACCCCAAGCCTTCATCTCCCTTCTTCTCAAAGCCCCTGTTGTATCCAAAGTGTGTTTCAGGTGAATTTCACAGCCATATCAAGGGCAGAGGTTGACAAAGACACACACTCTTTTTTTATTGTTTTGAGGTGGAGTCTTACTCTGTTGCTCAGACTGGAGTGCAGTGGGATGTCACAACCACTGCAGCCTTGACCTCCCGGGCTCAGGCGATCCTTCTGCCTCAGCCTTCCAAGGAGCTGGAGCTACAAGCATGCACCACCATGCCTGGCTGATTTTTTGATTTATTGTAAAGAGGAGGTCTCACCAAGTTGCCCAGGCTGGTCTCGAACTCATGGGCTCAGGCAATCCTCTCACCTTGGCCTCCCAAAGTGCTAGGATTATAGGTGTGAGCCACCACATCCGGACTTTGATAACTTTTTAAAATATAGAGACAAGGTCTTGCTATGTTGCCTAGGCTGGTCTCAAACTCCTGAGCTCAAACAATCCTCCCACCTTGGCATCTCAAAATGCTGGGATTACAAGTGTGAGCGACCATACCCAGCTGAGCTGTATCCTATTTTTTTTTTAAAAACAGGAACACTTGAAAATCACAATGAGCTAATATACTATCACGCCACATTGCCAGACCGTCAAAGTTGAAAAGTTGGACAACGCCAAGTATTGGTGAGGAAGTGGGGCACTGGGATTCTCCTGCACTCATGGGGGTACACACTGGCACCGTCATGTTGGAGAACAGTGGCATTATCTACTGAAATTGAATACACGCAAACTCTAGGACCTAGCAGTTCCACTCCTAAATTTATGCCCATAAGAAATACATGTGCATCAAGATGATGTGTGCATCAAGATACATGTATACGAATTTCATAGATGGGCTGGGCGTGGTAGCTCATGCCTGTAATCCCATCACTTTGGGAGACCATGGTGGGAGGACTGTTTGAGTCCAGAAGGTCGAGACCGGTCTGGGCAACACAGTAAGACCTTGTCTCTACAAAAAATGAAACAATTAGGAATAGCAGCATGTGTCTGTAGTCCCAGCTATTCAGGAAGCTGAGGCAGAAGGATAGCCTAAGCCCAGGAGGTTGAGGCTGATGTGAGCTGTGATCGTGCCACTGCACTCCAGCCTGGATGACAGAGTGAGACTCCAACTCATTTAAAAAAAAAAAAAAAGAATCTCATAGATGCATTATCTGTAACGTCCCCAAACTGGAAACAACCTACATGTCAATCAAAGGTGAAGTGGACACAAGAATTGTGAAACACACACACACACAATAAAATGCTAACAGTGATAAAATGAATGACTCATAGCTGAACCTCACAAATACAATGATCGTGCTGCATATCATCCTGCGTTCCCTGCTCAAAAGTCCTAATGGGCTCCCTGCTGTCTCTGAGATTCTCAGCAGAGCAGCCAAGATCCCAGCCAACCCCTCCAGCCCAATCTTTGACCCCCACTTACCGGTGCCCTTCTAGCCATACCAGAAGATGGACCATACTCTCTACTCATCTCTGTGGCACATTTAGGCTCACACAGTCCTTTACTCCTGATATGCCCTCTATCCACACCACACCTGTCAAAACTCTTCCCATCCTTCAAGGCCCAGCTCCAAATTACACTTTTCCTGAACTCCCCCCCCCGCCCCCCGCCCAGTTAGAATTCATTCCTCTCTTTCCCAAATGCCCTCTGTGTGGCAATGATGACCTCCCCAGTGAGAATGCTGTGTAGGGCGTCTTGCTAACCTTTGCTTCTCCAGCTCGACTGCACGGGTTTGTGCAAGGGGGCTATGGTTGACTTATCCCTGCTCAGTCATTGCACTAGTGTCTTCTAGGACACTGTTCTCAAGGGGGTGCTGATGCCCGTGCAATGCCCTGCCTTCCTGGACAATGGGCTTCTGGTGGTGGAGGCTTCCTGTCAATAGGAGTCTGGTGGGGGTGGATGTTTGAAGGACGGGAAGGGCAGGACAGATGGGAGAGCCCAGGAGCGTGCAGGGCTTTGAGGTGAAGCTGTATGCACATGTGCATGTGTGTGTGTGTGTGCCCGTGTGTGTGCCTGTGTGTTCATACACGCAGAGGGAACACAGAGCTTGGATAAATTCTGTGCGGTTGAAGCGAGTGAGCGTGCGGGGGCATTGGGAGGAAACAGGCAACTTGGGGTCTCCATGCTTGTAAATGGGGCCTGGCACTAAAGAGACCCTGAGGTGTGGAGGGTGAGGCTGTCCCTCTGCTCTCCGGGCTTGGAGACCATGAGAGGATGTCTGCCCTCTGCCCTCTTGACAAATGTGACAAGTGATGTCCACAGCATACAAGAGAGATTTCTTTTTCCTGGTGTGGAGTTCACAAGAGCATTTTCACAAGCATGTGAGGAATGGTCTAGCTATTAAAAGCGGTCCTACCCCGAGGCAGTGGCCAAGACACTTGGGCAGTAGCCACATCCAGTGCCCATTTCACCAACTGTAACCTGGGCAAGTGTCCTCTGCCTGTGCTGAGCTGAAGGGCGCAGAGCTCAGGTCTTGGTCCCGGGCTGGGGGCTGCTAACCCCACCAGAAGACCCCCCCCCTCCAAGGCAGCACTCACAGGCTCTGGAGCTCGGCACTTACTTCATGCTGACGCTGTTGAAGAACCAGGAGCAGAAGCCCTGGGGGAAGGAAAGAAATCGTGAGAAAACCTGGTGGTTGCCCCGCCTGACTCTAGGTACCCAGGCAGCCCGAGGGTCAGCCGAGGCAACAGTGGCAATGTCCCACTGGCCTCCTTCCCAGGAAGGACCACAAAGGCGCGGTCTGGAATAGTGGTGACCATTGAGGAAACTGTTTCCCTGGAAGCGAGTGGACATCTCTGCCATCCTGTGATAGGAATGGGACTTAGAAGGTGGCCCTTGGATGGCAGGGGGAAAGGGCCCCTTCTGGGGCAGACATCTGTTGCTTTCCCCCTGCCCCTTGTTGCTTCCTTCTGGGCCATGCCCCTCCCTGGATACATGTGGTCTAACGGGTTGCCCATCGAGTAGGAGTTTACTGTCAGTGATTGGCTGACCAATGGAAACAGGACCCAAGTGAGGCCAATTAAAATTCCCTTAAGGAAGCCAGGTATGGTGGCATGCGTCTGTAATCCCAGCAACTCGGGAGACTGAGGTGGGAGGATGGCTTGAGCCCAGGAGTTTGAGTCCAGCCTGGGCAATAGAGCGAGACCTGGTTTCTTTAAAAGAAAGAAAAAAGGCCTCAAGCGGATTGATACGGGAGCTGGGGGACAGAAGGTCTCTCTCCCTCGGTCTTCCTGCACAAGGGCCTAGGGTGGTTTGGTGCCACCTTCGATGCCACGTGTGGGGAGCTTGTCTGAAGAGAAAGCCAGCGCAGGGGAGAAAGGACAAGCGAGGGAGGTCCTGGTGAAACTGCTGGACGTCTGGGGTCTAGTTGGACCTGCAGAAGTTGCGTTCCTTGGACTTCCCCACACTTGAGCCACAAATTAGCCTTTTGTTGTAAAAAAAAAAGTTTGGGCGGGTTTCTTCTCTGGCTCTAAGAGCCCTATCCTGTTGAAGATGCCTTTCTCTCTCAGGGGCTTGTTGTCTGGAGTTTCAGGGTGGTGTCTTCAACCATGGGAGGTTGGTGGAGACCTAGTGTCAGCGTGGGAAGGGGGCACCTGAGGGTGGGCAGGGCCCGTGGCTCTGAAAGCTGCCTGAGCTGGTAGCTGGTTAAGTTCCCCTGGTGCTCACTTCCATCTGGGGTCCAAGAGGACTTAGCAAAGCCCTGGACAAGGCTGGAGTACAGTGGCCTGACCCTGGCTCACTGCAGCTGCAAACTCCTGGGCTCAAGGGATCCTTCGCCTCATCCCTCAAGAGTAGCTGGGACTACAGATGTGTACCACCCTGCCTGGCTGCTCTTTTACTTTTTGCAGATGGGATCTCACTGCATTGCCCAGGCTGGTCTCAAACTCCAGTCCTTGAGAAATCCTCCCACCTCAGGCTCCCAAAGTTTTGGGATTACAGGCTCAAACCACCATCCCCCATCGGGTTGCGGCTCTTAATGGCCCCATGTGGGACTCTGTGTACTTCTGTGAAACAGGCAGGCCCCTTGATTGACAGTCCCTTGGAACCACAGGGACTGGGAAAGGGCATTTCCCAAAAAGAAGTAAGAAGGACATGGAACAAAGAAACTGAAGCCCCTTGCTCCCCGGGGCGCAGGCCCACCTTCTAAGAGCACTTCCTGCAGACAAACGGGGTGGGGGGTGGGGATGGGAG